GGCATTTCATTTTCCTATTGTTGCTTTTTGTGTATTGTTTAATTTATAAAGCTTACAAACATTGTAAAGCTATCATTTGTTACTATATTACTATTATCATATATGTAAGGTACTTTGGTCCACAACGTACAAATGACCCCAATGACCCGTACTCCTTTTGTATTCATTGTATTATCACCAAATTAACACTTACAGTTGTTTCGTTAACTTTACTAACTCTTTTATGTGAACACCATTTTTTTTATCTATAAAACTCCACTGTATCCCTACACGTGATAGCTACACGCCTACCCACCCCTAACCTGTCGGTACTAAACATTCATCTAAACATAAACACCGACTTGAACATACCAACCTTTCACCCTCCCACTAATTCGCTCACACAGCAATCTGTTCGTCAAACCCTCCCCCCCCCCACCCACACACACTACAAATGGTAACACCTCAGCAGTCAGATAACACAGCACAAAATTTGACGCTTGGCTTGCCTTAAAACACGGAGTCACCCTCTCCACGCCTCGTCAGACACATCTACCCACTCCCCCCTCTCCCCCTCTATCCACTTACCCTCAGACATGAAAACACCACTTTCCGTTTAACTGTTCCAACGACCCCACCACCCACCCCAACATCAATTTCGAATATCTATTCATTTACTTTTTAAAGTTCTAAATCTTGTTTCTTTCCCCTCTTGTTTTACACAGCAACCTTTTGAAAACTCAATGCGACCAGTACATAAACAAACACTCTTTCAACTAGTCAACTTAATTTGTTTCCCTACATTGAAAATGCTCCACTGGCCCTTTGTCATTCTCGGAAAAATATCCTTTCCACTCCCCACCCAGACTTCTGACACGTTTATTTGACCTTCACCCCTTTTACTGCCATCTTTTGTAATTTTTGTTATAATCATATACATGACATCATGTAAATATTCATTATGTACATGTTTAAAACCTTTCGGTTTCTTTTGAAACTATGTAAAAAATGTGATGTTGATGTACTTGTTTTAATTGCAAATAAAAGTATTAAAAAAAAATATCACATACGGTCTCAAAATTACGGAACCATCTCTGCGAGTGTGACGTCATTTAAGGCTGACCCCATATAATATTTAATGCAGATGAAACTATTGTGTTATCAGTTTATTTCAAAATTTGTATAAAGTGTTATGTGAAAACTCGGGGGTATTGTAGACTGTAGACTGGTAACTAGACCATATTCTGTCAAATATAATAATCTTTTTTATAGTATGTATAATCAGTGGCGTAGGGAGGTCGGATGTCACCCCCCAGAGGCGTAATGACAATTCCCGAGAAAAAATTCTCAAATGTTCGATTTGCAACCCCCCCCCCCTCAAACTTTCGATTTGCACCCCCCTCGAACTTCCGATTTGAACCCCTCCCCCCCCCCCCCCTCGAACTTTCGATTTGCACCCCCTCAAGTTTTTCTCTACATATATTTTGATGTTTTTTGCATTGGTGTCACCCCCCAAAATGGTGTCAACCGGTGCGTTCCTCACCCCCCCGCCCCCCCCCCCCCCCCCCGCAACGTCTCTGTGTATAATATACTAAACGTCAAAAAACTCATTTAGTTGTTGATCGTAACCAAATGACAAGCCTGTTACCACACTACCGATTTCAATGTACATCAATAAACAGAGATTATTGTGGTCTGCGACAAATGTATTTCCCAAGGTATAAGGCGAAACCATCTAAATTGTCTCTAGATGCTTTTATCGTCCCATGACATGTATAATGGCTGTTGTTAACTTGCAAACTAATCAACGTACGGGAACTTATTTTTTTTCAGCATTTATTCTTTACTCTCACGTTTTCGTTCATAGTAAATATGATAAATACTATTGTGTTTCTACAAAAAATACTATTAACTCTAGTATATTAGATAACAAGCTAAAAATAATATGATTGTAAGTATATTGAAAACGACAGTATACCTACAAGTACTACTTTTTTTTTTTGTTAATACTGTCTCTGTCTCCGGACTAAAGGTTGTTAATAATTTACCGTTGTATAGCTAGAGAAATAATATTTGTCAAACCAATAATAAATTTGCATGTAAGCTGAGAAAGAAATTTAAAACACATAGTTGATATAGACAAATAAAAACAAAAAATCACTATGATGCTAATATTTTTTATACATTACTGGAAATCAATTTTGCTGACAATATGTTATAAGTAAAAACACGAATTTTAATATTGTTTAGCACTATCTGTATCCGGCACATCTTTCATCTATAATTCTTTATGTTGAAACAATGCGGGACATTACGACCTCCACCACGTAAGCGCGACTAGCAGCCCCCTCTCATCCTTTCTCGGCATATCACTACCACCCCCACCCCCACCAGCCTAACGATAACAATCGTAGAGCCGAGTCGAATTAGTTACGGCTATTAGGGGCAGATAATTTACTTTTTAAACGATTTGAAACTTAGGGGAGGTAACTAAAAGGAGGCTTCTTTCACGGGGTGAGGGGGTGGAGGGGGTGTAGGGTTATTGTCCTTCACGAGCTACTGATAATGATTTTAAAGCCACTATTTTAAGTCGAAGCATGGTTAGTGTCGATTTCAAAAATTATCAAATACTGAAAAGTAGAAAATAAAACAACTAAATAGCGTCGTATGCTACGCCGCAAGTCGGCTCGAGCAATTTAATCCTGTCATTTCTTTTTCTTTATTGCTTTACATTTTACACAAGCGAAATGGAGTCAAAACACCTTAACCATCTTTGGGTGAAAATATTTGAACATTTGAAACCTGTATTTAATTATTTTCTATATGGCTTCTGAACTGTGTATTTTTCAAATAAGACGCTTCATTTTAATAATGAGTAAATATCAATCCAGAATACCATCTTATAAATAAAGCGGTACTGACTGTGTACTCTATTGAGACACGTTGTACATGTGTGTACACAAGTCATAATGTTCACAACACTTGACCGATGGAGATAAAAACTTGGAATACCATGTCAGGACACCCACAATATTATTTTTATACACCAAATATTTGTTTAGACACACATCCTACGGTCTTATGGAACGGTTTAGATATTAAGTAATTATGCTCCTCTTCTGATATTTAAAAGCTGAGGTGGCTATGGCTTCTGTTTTTAATCAGTTAGATTGTTTTTCTTGATATCATATTTTAAAAAAATGCTGTGTTTATTTATCTTTTAATGTGTGGCGAAAATAAAATTATATATTATGTAAACATATTCATTGGCGTTACTGTCACAGTGATATCTACCAAACAAAGATGGGAGGAAGCAGTGTTTCTTCTAGACTATTTTCTCAGGGGGGGGGGGGGGCGGACTAAAATTTCTTGGGAGAAGGGGTGTGCGGACACTGTCAAAAGTATATATAAATTCAATTTTGTCAAGGGTGGGAAGCATGTCTGGAAGAACCCGGAGATACAACATTTTTACCATGGTAACGGATGTTACAAGATTTGTTTTAAAACATTACTGTTTATTTATTTTTATCGTATTGCATACTAGTTTGAGCGAGTAGATCCGTCTTGTGGAATTTCTTTTGCTTGTAAACAAACATTACTACTCGCTGTCTAGACAACCTTGTTGATAAGATTGGTTTAGTAAGTTTTTAGTTCCTGTCACGCGAAAAGACGATACTTAGCTGCAAATAAATTGTCATCAAATCAATATAAAGCTTACATATTGTAACCAAAATTGACTTTAGTATACTGAATATTTAGTGGTTGGTTTTATTATTCGGACAATAACTAACTTGACTTTACATAGGACCATAACAATCCAATCTGTCTATTACCCGCTTCTCAAACACATACCGGCTGTCTTTACTGTATTCGAACAATACTCTACCTTTGTTATACACGCCATTATTCTGTATATATTAACACAAGTAGCCCGCCATTTATACGTGCCACACGATTACCTTCATATGTATATGCAGACCAGTAAAAATAGCTAAGAGAAAAGAGCATTGGACAAAAAGTCTTTGAACATTAAAGTTTCCCAAAACAATTATTGTAATTGACAGAGTAGGTTTTGTCAACCACTACCAGTGATCCTACAAAGCTGTTTAACGGCTGGTCTTTCTTAAAATATTATTATAAAATAATATATAACAGAGTAGTATTCCATCTAAGACACATGGGGCAGATGAAGTAGAGTTTATATGTTTCAAGATCTCTGAAATCGGAGTTGACTGCACGGAATGCGATACAGTAAACCTCAGATACAATCGAATTTTTCTTCTCAGTATTTATTTTTGCGACGTTTCATTACACAGCCGCACTCTTCGCATAATTAATAATCAATGCTGTGATTTCATTGTCTGCTGCTAATGAATCCTTCTTTTTTTTCATTGAAAACAAAGCCTGGTTGTAATAAAAATATTACACACAAATTAAATGTATACATTTTTTTATTATTTTAACCACTATTGAATACAGCCCAAAACTCAACTTCTTTCATTAAATCAATCTAGAAAAAAAATCAATTTAAATCTAACACACAGAAGAGGCTTGCGGTCTTGTTTGATGCCAAAGATCTTCCAATGGAAATCAGGCACTGAAAGGTTATTGTTTATATTATAATATAAAACAATAGATATTGTAGCTCTTGGGTAGTGTAAGAAAACTTCGGTAACAGATCCTTATGGCTTAAAAACAGCCATCTACCGTTTATATACAGCTAAACAAGGTCAGGAGTGTATGTGCGAGATATATATATATATATATATATATATATATATATATATATATATATATATATATATATATATATATATATATATATATATATATATATATAATACACAATAAAAAGAACCATTTAAATCTTTGAACATATCAATTGACTATGTCATATAGGCTATATTTATATTTAAAATATATCTCTATCTCTTGGTCTTGGGATAGTTATCAGTGTTGTATTTTAAGAATAATTTGATGTTCTTTTATGTGCAATACTTTTCAACTCATACATACATTACCTTGCTTTATTTTTTGGAAAACAAAATCCACCATATACGCTGCGAATGTGAATATTATATATATATATATATATATATATATATATATATATATATATATATATATATATATATATATATATATATATATATATATATATATATTGTCCCATATCCTTAATTAATTAATTAGAAATATTTTCACAGATAAGATATGTGACGTAGTAGCCGAGAAGATTGTATGCACACAAAAATGTAAAGTTATGTGTTCGGCATTGATGCGGACATTATATATTTTTTAAACTTCTTTTTATTGTTATCACTTAAACGTTAGCTTTATTTATTTATTTACCCGGTGTTCCTTTTTAATTTCCAATATTATTCCAATTTTATCATACATTTTCGTTTGGATACGTTTGGGAGATCAACAAATTTAAAAATATGAAGAAACAATGTTTGTTTTCCTTGTATTATTTACATTTGAATGCGCGACTCACTGTTGAATGACTTTTTTTGGCAAAAAAACAACACATAATTTTAAAAAAAACGAACAAATAGAAAACAACAAATAAAAACAAGAGACAAATATTGGTTAAAAAAATTAACAAAGACAGCTATAGGCCTACATAACTGGATTTGTAAAATAAAATATTACATTGTTTAAATGAACAGGAAATAAGTTGAAAATACACGAAAAACAAAGTATTTTTTTCTGCGAATATATTTAACATTGTGGCAATGGAAGAAATTGACTTCAAAGAAACTGAATTAAAGACAATGATTCGTCTTAGGGGTCGTCCATAAATGACGTCACAATCTTAAGGGGGAGGGAGAGGGGTCCGTAATTTGTCGCGGTGTGTGATGACGGGGAGGGGGTGTTTTAGGTGGCGTGACGTCAAACTTTTGCATTATAAAAAAAAATGCTAGAAAACGAATTTTAGCCGTTATTTCCCGTATTAGAAAGCGTAATAGGAATATATTAAAATGCTCTATGATGATAGAGTTCAGACAAGATTTTGGAAAAATATCGATGTTTTAAGAAAAACAAAACTGCAATTTTGAGGGGGGGGGGGGGAGTTAGGCTTAGGTATGACGTCAATTTTTTGGTGGGGGGGGGAGGGTGGGGATGTGGCATATTGTGACGATGTGTGACGGAGGGGACGGGGATGTAAAAAACGTCAAAAAAGCGTGACGGCATTTATGGATTTCCCCCTTATTACTTGCAGTAGTATCCATCGCAACATATTAACTGGCTATAGTCACATGCCTTCCATGCTGGCTGGCACCAATTATAACTGATGGTTTAAACATACAAGAGAATAAGAACAAATAGGATACAACATCAATCTTTGTTTAACGCAATACTTGTTAGTAGTGTAGTCAAGATATTATTAGAAGACGGGCCAACCATAAGTAGTTAAAGACAGGGGTGGACTGGACCGGTGGGCACCTTAGTAAGTGATAAGGGGAGGGGCCAGTATTGGTGGTGTACTAGGTCTTATAGTGCTAGAACTTATAAAATTATAAATTGACCAGTAAATTCTCATCTAGATTAGTATAATCGTCAGGCGCTGGTGGAAGAAAATGTACAATGACAATGTCTTCTTCTTTTCTTCTTCTGCGTTCTTAATTTTAGTGTTGGAAGGGATCCCCTCCAACACAGTTAAGTATACGTGTCAACTGGTTATGCGCCATTGAGGCCATTGACTCCGATTTCAGCCTGCTTTGTCCAAACACAAACAAACTACAAGGCATCAGTTGTTTGATTTTGGAGTTGTATCTCCTAGACTAGTGGCTGTCCCCAGCTAATCTGCCCGAGGATTCGAACTCGAGACTTTTCGGTTTAGCAACCATGAGCTTTACCGACTCGACAACGCCGATCCCCCACATTGACAATGTGGTCTGGGGTTGTGGTCCATTTTTTTAAACTACCCTACAGCCAGTCCAACCCTGGTTTAAGATGTGAAAAAACAACAACATACCGTTTCTCTAGATGTCCCGCTATAAAATGTTAAATTTAAAAAAAACCATACAATTTAGATGTTAAAATTGATCTTTTGTATAAGAGACTTTAAACAGTAATAAAAATGAAATAGTCACGGTGTTTGCCTTTAAACGTATTGAGTTCTTGAAGTAAGTAAAGACGGACAGGCCTAGTGCTTACTCAACCAATCTGTCATAGCTTAGATAGATAAAATAAGACTAGACTGGTAGAGACTAATAAGGACGGTGTAAATTTTACGGTAGACAGTTTGGTTCGAGAGTATAGGGCTAGTAAGTAGGTCACCAACCAGTTCTATGGCTCATGCAGGTTTTATTGAGCCGGTTGAGAACTGGTTGGTGACCTACTTACCAGCCCTATTGTGTGCGTGTTTAATAAAATATTTGTGGCGTGAGTTTGAATTGAGCGTGACTCGACAATGTTACCGATAACGTAGGACGCAACATTGAAGACAGTTGGAGGTTAGCCATTGTAGGAAAATGACGTGTTTTGATATTGTGTAGTTCTTGTATTTGATAATAAAATTAATTCTATTTTATGATCGAAGTTGTTTATATCGTCAACTTAGTCCTCAATACATATTTATAGTAATATACTTGGAGTGTTAGTTATAGCAGTAGTCATCATATAGTTTAATATAGCAACGCATACATTTCACCCCATCAAAAAACCCTTTACGTGTCGAGGTCAAGATGTACATGAACTCTACTTCTCAAATGATCGCCAATTGAAATTATCTTATTTTCATGTATTGCAATAGACATGCACGCAGTAATTCCCAAAGATAGTTATATTATTAAATATGTCTTGCGTAATTACAAACTATCAAACATACACGATATACCAACTTTTAATCAACCGCTACATCTAAATACTTTATGTCCTCCTTCCAAGATAAAAATAGAAAGTAAATAAAGAAAAGAAAATCTACAAAGCAGGCGACCCCGATTATTCACTCAACTAGCGGTGAAGTATAATTCTAGCGCTTTTCTCCTAAGGGTCTTCACAAGAATATGTTAACGTTAGTAAACCTATAGCAATACAACATGTTAACATATTACCTCTGTTCATCAGCATGAACGAAGTGGCTGTTGCAAGCAATACCATCAGGACCACAGCAACTTTAATGTTCAACATGTTCGTGTTTTCACTTTGACAGCTCCTCACTGAATGCTAAGGTAACGTAGCTTAATGGTAGGCACAATGTAAGTTAATTTAACTTGTATGTAATTGGTTTTGCTAGATAATGTAAACAAACTCAGGAAATCAATTTTTTTTATTTCTCATCCAAAAAGAAATACGTAGTTCTAAAATTTCACAGTAAAAAAGGAACCTATGGAGTTCTATTTACACTAAATTGCAAACATTTCACATAATACGGAACTTGTTGTTTTTATATTACTATAAATAGGGAACCTTGTTTCATTACAATCCTAGGGATAATCCGCTTGCTTTGACACGCGGACCTGCCATTTTTAATGTAAAAGCAATGTTTTTTGTGATAAAAAAATAAATCGATGGATTGACATAAACCTGATTTATACTGATTGCTGATCGAATAAGAAATTCGGAGCAAATGCCTATCTGTCTAATATATATATATATATATATATATATAAATAATAAATAAATATATATAAATATATATATATATATATATATATATATATATATATATATATATATATATATATATATATATATATATATATATATATATATATATATATATATATGCGGTTGATGATGTTTAAGAAGTTTAGTATATGTATAGAGTAATTTTGGTATGAAAACATGAACGCAGACACACGGACGGGATGAGTGTATTCAACTCTATACTCGGGAATAATCCAATCACGGACGCTTTAGAAAGCAGAGCCGTCAAGCTTGTAATGCTAGCGTGTTAAACTTTCAAGCTAGCAAGTCACGTTCAGAGTTTCTTCAGGCATCTCTTCTGTGGAGCTCACCCCCACCCCCAACTAAATAGTAATTTATCAAGGAAATTTTGGTTTATTCCTTAAAAAAATAATTAAAAATCTATTTCAGACTAAGGTGATGTTAGATTGCATTGTCATTGGGTCTTGATCCTTTTGCCAAGTTTCAGAGAAATAGCTCTGAGAGAAGTGGTCAAAATTTCGCTCGCCTTTTTTATAGTTGACGGACGAAGCACGACATACGTAGGAAGCAAGTTACATTAAAGCTTGTAAAAATGATCTTCTTCATACGTATGCCTACACAACATAAACCATACAACACACAACATAAACAACAATTTCTTTCTTTAAAAAAAATAAACCTTTTAATTACGCATAATAACTTGATTTAATTTTAATGATATTTTTGTTTACATATCATAATATTTTAAAAATAGATTGTTCTCTCTATTAAAAAAATAAAACGAGAAACGAGTTGATAAATAACTTGATAAAAGCTTGTTATTTAAACGTATTTTTATGAACTTTTTTTCAGTACTTTACATGTTTTATTTACAATAGTTACATGACTAAAAACCATTGTCAGGTTTATATCTCAAGTTTCAGTAGAGTATTATGGGATTGCGTAGTCTAGTGGTATGGAACTAGACTGCTGACCCGACTAAAAACCATCGCGCGCCGATTGAACGTAATGACGTGCTTTTGACGTAGAGCCCCCCCCCCCCTCCCCCCTCGCTCCACACCCAACACGGCCGTGATGACGCGTGTGGATATAACTGCCTACTAATTCGGTCCAATTTTTAATTAATTCATAAAAAATTAATTAGGCAACCAATTAAGCCAAATTGATTGTCACGATGCATTGTCTTCATGTCTTAACCCACGTACTAACTACGAACCGTAACTGTCAGTTAGAAGTGCTTGCAATTTCACACGGGCGTTTCGATCTAGACAGACAGACAGACAAAGGACGTGAGTGTAATAAAAGCTTGTAAAAATCTAATTTATAAATTATTTTTGGAATTAATGAAGAACAAACAGCGGGAAAAAAAACGAAGTTGTTAAAGACACGTTTAAATATTTTTATAATCTTCATAAGAAGGAAAACGGTGGGTTTGTTTCGAACAATTTACTCCCTGGTTGGATGTGGGTGAAGGGGGGTGGTGGTGTTAGACAAGGCATTTGAGATATCTCACTGGAGTTGGTCAAAATAAACTTTATCAGCACTATACGTGTTTTATGGGCCCGAGAAATTTCATTCAGTCAAGTTATCTGTTGCTAGACAACTGAGTTTTATCCGGAGTTCATACCCGGTGTGTGGTAGGGTTGGGGAGGGGGGAGTTAAGGCTGTAAGATTGTGGGACAACTTATGGTGTCAAGACGACCTACCGCGTATTTAGCCTAATGCGCATTTTTACTCGCATCAGTTGATCACGTGTTCGCACGCACGTAGATACATGACCCTGAGGCGGGGGGAGGGGATTGCACCAACACAGGAGTTTCGGTGGTGGAGGGAGGCAGAATGTCGAAAACATATATAGAATTTCTTCTTCGTTGTAAAATTGTAATTTAATGTTGGAAGGGATTAATTTCAACACTGACTATGCGCTGTATAGTCCGTTTTGTTTTTCCTATTTCAGACTGCTTTTCTTCTGGATTAGCATTTGTCAGTCGGTAGAAAAGCATTCAAAAGAGCAGCAACCACTCAAAACATCCCTCACAACACCTCCTCACAGCTCCTCATCACCACACCCCCTCACAACACCAACTTACATCACACCACAAATGTTCCATATTATTCAACGCTACTATATTTAAACATGGAGAAACGCTTCTTCATTTGCTGTATTACTTTGCGTTTTAATGGTATTGTTTAATGATTTATTTTGTATTAGTATGTTTATGACGGACACCATGCACAACACAGAATGATATTTAACATGAGAGCATCATTGAAAAGTTAGCGCAATACCTATCCTATATCAGCATTAGACAACACACAAACGTATGCTTATACGCAATCTTTAAAAACTAATTCCATGGATTTGCAAAGAACAAAAAATAAATTAATTTAAAACAAAACTAGATCTGTCCGATTGTGCATGCTCATATCACGTGCACCAAACTTAAATACTTGTCTACGTGCACTTTAATTTTCACAACAATTTTAATCTATTAAAGGTATGTGACGTCAAGCAACGGATGATGAGTTGATCATCCTTAGATCAGTGGTTCTCAAACTTTTTGGAGATACCAAACCCCACCTGCTTCATTGCGAATTCAACGAACCTCTCAAAATAGGATAAATAAATATGTTTTTTTTTTTAATTTACTGGTGCACAAAAATAAACCACGCATCAACATCACTAAGATTAATTAACAAATTCAGCAAGAGTTGTGAATCTGTATTTTCTATCCCCGCGCAGCTTAAGAAAATATCCTCAACAACTGCCTTATTGGCTAATGTCTGAGCAAGCGGCATATTCAAAGCTACAAAGCATCACCACTGCAGCATAGCAGTTCGACCTGCAATAGCCTTGATGTTTTAGCTATTATTTTCTACCTCCCAAATTTTATTTTATATTTAGATTTGTTTAATTTATATTTGTTTAAAACTATTTGATTTGACTATGTTTTTTGCTTTTGTCAATTAGAACAATATAAAATAAACAAATCAAGAAACTGCTAACTGGAGACTGGAGCCATCAAATCCGCCAAAGACAATTTTAATATAATAATTGTCTTTACACGTGAATATTTGTCTAAAAAAACTACTTGTTTTGAAAGGACACTGTGAGTGTGAGGTCGGTGTGATTGGTTAAGTTAAGCTCATGGTTGCTGAACCATTTAGTCCAAATTTAAAAAAAAAACTGGTCACTTGTAAGTTGTTCTTGGTTGGAAAAAGGCTATGGAGGCAAATCCAAAAAGAAAAGCAGGTTGAAATCAACGACCTTAACGGCGCATAACCAATTGAAAAGTATACTTTCTTGTGTTGGAGGGAATCCCTTCGAGACTAAAAGTTAATAACGAAGATGACAAAAAGGATACTATTGCAAGCAATACCATCAGGACCACAGCAACTTTAATGTTCAACATGTTCGTGTTTTCACTTTGCCAGCTCTGCACTGAATGCTAAGGTAACGTAGCTAAATGGTTGGCACAATGTAAGTTAATTTACCTTGAATGTAATTGGTTTTGCTAGATAATGTAAACAAACTCAAGAAAACATTTTTTTTTTATTTCTCATCCAAAAAGAAATATGTAGTTCTAAAATTTCATAGTCAAAAATGAACCTATGAAGTTCTATTTGCACTAAATTGCAAACATTTCACATAATACGGAACTTGGTGTCTTTATATTACTCTAAATAGGGAACCTTGTTTCATTACAATCCTAGGGATAATCCGCTTGCTTTGACACGCGGACCTGCCATTTTTAATTTAAAAGCAATGTTGCTGTGATAAACGAATAAATCGATGGATTGACATAAACCTGATTTATACTGATCGTTGATCGAATAAGAAATTCGGAGCAAATGCGGTTGATGATCACCTGCAGATGTTTAAGAAGTTTAGTGTATGTATAGAATGATGTTGGTATGAAAACATGAAAACAGACACACGGGCGAATTGGTGTATTCAACTCTACACTCGGGAATAATCCAATCACGAACGCTTTAGAAAGCAGAGCCGTCAAGCTTGTAATGCTAGCGTGTTAAACTTTCAAGCTAGCAAGTCACGTTCAGAGTTTCTTCCAGACATCTCTTCATGGGAGCCCACCCCACCCCCAACTCCCGAACGTAATTTATATAGAAAACATATACATTTACCTGTGTCCGCCCCCTATCCCCGGAAAATGTTGTCCGCCCCCTCGCCCCCACCCGAAAATATCAAGTGCCCCCCCCTCCCCCAGAGAAAAAAGTCTTGAAGAAACACTCGTCACGCTCAGGCCAGCTAGCAGTCAAGCTAATACTGCGTCAGAATTGTCTGGCAAGTGTGTCAATCTATTGTAGCAAGTGTGTCACTTTCAAACCAGAGTGTCATCTTCAAACCAAAGTGTCACCTTCAAATTATAGTGTTACTTTCAACCCAGAGTGCAACTTTTAAACCAGAGAGTCTCTTTCTAACCAGAGCGTCATTTTTAAACCAGTGTCACTTTCAAATCAGAGTGTCACTTTCAAACCAGAGTGTCACTTTCAAACCAGAGTGTCACTTTCAAACCAGAGTGTCACTTTCAAACCAGAGTGTCACTTTCAAATCATGGCATCACT